GAATAACATACCAAGGAGCTCGTCCCTAGAGAAAACTGATTCTTCCTCTCTCAGCAACCATTGATTTCCTTTAGCCCTGCATTTAGAGTTGAACCTTGTGAAATTTCCCCCATCATCGTTGGCATGTCAGCTGGTTTCATATAGGTCTTAGTTAGGCATCAATATTTTTAAAAATATTATTTGTATGTGTACGTGTGTATACAAATGGTATACAATATGCTCACCCATGCCTGTGTGTGTGGAGTCCAGCGGTTGACACTGAGTGTCTTCCCCTTTGCTCTCCGCTTTATCTTTTGAGATAGGGTCTCTCATTGAACTCGGAACTTGCCTTTTTTTGCTAGACTTGCTGGCCAGTCAGCCCCTGGGATTTGTCTGTTTCTGCCTCCCATCATTAGGGTTACAACTGTGTGCCACAGTGATGTACCTAGCTTTCCCATATGTTCTGGGGATACAAATTTAGGTCCTCATGCTTGTGCAGCAGGCATTTTCTGCACTGGGTTGCAATTCTTAAGGATCGTATTAATGCTGAGGCACTTAACTTTTATATTATTTGCTAGTAGTATTTAGGACTTAACCTTTTTGGAAAAAGTTCTGTTGAGTATGATGTGATAACCACTGTTCCTATATAGAAATAGAAATGAAATGAGATGCATATAATCTTCTCAGAAGCTCAGCCTCATGACATGGATTATGAACCCTGCCAACCTTTTCTCCAGAGTTTTTTTTTTTTAATGATAGGGTCTCACTGGTTGGTCTGGCATTTGCTATGTAGACTTGCTGGCCTCACACTCATAGAGGTCCTCCTGCCTCTGCCTCCTGCGTTCTGGGATTAAAGGTGTAAGCTATCATGCCTAGCCTATTTCTCAAGATTTTTAAGTTACACAAAATTCAAAACAGATATAAGGTAGAATGACTATAATACTATTAAGATTATTTCATTTACCCCCCTTTCTTTCCAATGGAGGCATTTTATTTAATTTCATTAAAAAATAACTGAACCAGGGTCTCACTAAGGCCTAGGTGGGGCTCAGACTTATGACCCTCCTGCTTTTGCCTGTTCTGTGCTGGGATTACAGGGTGTGCATCACTGCACCTGGCTCCATTGAACTTCTTAATATATCCACTGATAGGTGCTTTGATATGCATCTCTGATAAAGATCTTTAAAAAGCCATACTGTAATTGCACCCAATGGATTAATATACCAAGTATTATATGTTATGTGGTCCATATTTACCTTTTCTCTATTGACACAGATATGTCTTTGTGTATTTGCTTTGTTTAAATAGGATTCAAGCAACGATCACATACTAGATTTGATGGTTATGTCTCTTTTATTTATTAACATTACTTTTCCCTTCTATTCCCCCATTTGTCCTTTGACATTGGTTACTTGAAGAAATAGCTGTTTGCCCTGTAAAATGTTCCACATTTTGCGTGTGGGTTTTTGTTTGTTTCAGATGGAATCTCACTCTGTAGCTCAGACTGGCCTTGAACTTGCTGTTCTTTTGCTTCAGCCTCTAGAGTGCTGGAATTACAGGCTTACACTATCACACCTGGCAGTTGTTTGATAGTTTAGATTTGGTATGAAGAGATTTAATCAATTTCACTTAATAGGATTAGAACAGAATGGGATTTTGAACTGTAGAATGTGTCTTTTGAATGCATTTTCTTAGACAAGATTGAAACCACCACTTTCGTATGTGCAGTTAAGTAGAATATAGGGAAAGCGATTGAGGATAAGGAAAGAGAGTTTAGGGTAGAGACAGTAGGGAGAATGTAAGTAAAAACATGGGAGAAACCTGCTTTTCTGCTTCAAAGCAATCCTGATTTATTTCATAATTTAACCTCTATCAGAAGTACTGTTCTTGCTCTATTTTATGTCTTATTTTTATGAAAAAAATCAAACATTTCCAGTATCCCACAAAATTTTCTCATGCACCCTAAAAATCTGACTTTCACTGTATCTAGGTAGTTTCTGATCTGTTTTCTATGACCTTAGGTAGTTTCTGATCTATTTTCTGTGACCAAAAATTGGTTTCTTTTTTCTAGACTTTGCATCATTGTAATCATTTAGTGTGTACCCTTGTCACGTTTATTCCAATTTTATAGTCATTTTGAGGTTATATGTATTTTGTGTATATCAGTATTTCTTCCTTTTTATTGTCGAGGGATAGTTCCTTTCTTTTTTTACTATTATAATGAAGTTGCTTTGTACACATCTTAGTGGAAGTATATAGTTCCACTAATCTAGGAGGGGCAGGGGTTATATTTTACGTAAGCAGGAGGCTGGGTAATTTATAAAGCAAAGAAATATATTTGGCTCTGTCAGGTTCTGGAGGCTGGGAAGTCTCAGATCAGGCTGTGTGTTAAGAGCCTTCCAATTCAATCATCCCATGATTGGAGCCAGATGGACAAGAGAATACAAAGAGCAAGAGGAGGATGAACTTGTTCTGAACAAAGCTACCCTCTGTAGGAACCCACTTCTGTGACAGTGGTATTGTGACAGTGTAAGAGCATCTAGACTCCTCATGACCTAATCCTCTATTAAAAATCTTGCTTTCAATACTGTTGCATTGGGGATTACATTTCCAGCTCAGGGATACATTTAAATCATAGTATAGTCCATAGATTTCCCTAGATTTTCTGTAAATGCTCCTTTTTTTTCTTTTTAAATTTCTATCATGAATCTAATTAAGGCTCATGTATTCTATTTTTAATCACAGTTTTTATTATTTTCAAAAATGTTTTTACTAATTATTTGAGAATTTCATACAGTGCATTATCATCCTCTCCTAACTCCTCCCAGATCCACCCCCTACCTCTGCACCTCACCCCCAACTCCCCCACTTTGTGTCCTTTTTTTTTTTTTTTTTTTTTTTTTTTAAATAACAACCCATTGAGTCCAGTCTGTGCTGTCCATATACTCCTGGATGTACGACCATTCATTGGAGTGTGGTCAGCCTACCAGGGGCCACATTGTTAAAGAAAACTCTTTTTCTTCCAAAGCCACCAACAACTGTAGCTCCTCAGCTAGGGATAGAGGCTCATGAATGCCTTGTAACCTTCCATGCTAGAATGTTGACTAGCTTGATCTTTTGCAGGTCTTCTGTAGGCTACCACAGCTGCTGTGAGTTCATGAGTACAATGGTCCTGGTCATGTTCAGAAGATACTGTTTTGCTCTGGTCCTCCCCAACCTCTGGCTCTTACAGTGTTGTTTTTTTCACTCTTCTGAAATTGTCCCCGAGCCTTGGGGAGTGGGTGGCTCTTTAATGTCTTTTAATATGTAATGGTTTCCATGTATTCTTTTTTTTTTCTTTTATGACACAGACATTTTTGGAGTTTAGGCTGATTGTCTTAATGAATAGCCTATAATCAAGATTTAATTGTTTCCCTCATGAATAGGTTCAGGTTAAAATTGTTGTCCAAGCATAGTGTAGAGTTGTACATGCTTCTCATTGCATCATATCTGTGGTGTACAGTGTTGGGTAGTATGAATATTGATGAAGCTAATGTTAAAAGATATTTTATTTATTGCCGGGCGTGGCCTTTAATCCCAGCACTCGGGAGGCAGAGGCAGGCAGATCTCTGTGAGTTCAAGGCCAGCCTGGTCTACATAGTGAGTTCCAGGACAGCTGGGGCTACAGGGAGACCCTGTCTCAAGAAGACCAAAAAAAAAAAAGATTTTATTATTTTTATGTGTATGAGTATATTGCCTGCATGTGTATAAGTACACCTGTGTTGGGCAATGCCTGAGGAGGTAAGAGGAGAGTGTCAGATCTCCGGGAACTGGAGTTAAGATGGTTGTTAGCTGCCATGTGGGTGCTGGGAATCGAACCTGGGTGCTCTGCAAGAGCACAACCAGTGTTCTTCACTGCTGAGCCATCTCTCCAGCTTCTAATACTATTTTTTCAAAGTGTATAGTGTGTCTATGTGCATGTGAGAGTATGCACATTGTATACACACGTGTTTATGTGGCGATCAGAACTTGCTGTTGGTTGTTTTCTCTATTGCTCTTCACCTTATTTTTTGAGACAGGGTCTCACTGAACCTGGAGCTCACTGACTGGGTAAGACGATCTGGCCAGCAAGCCCATTGATCCTCTTGTCTCTGCTCCTCACTGCTAGGGTTGCAGCATGAGCTACACCACACCTGGCTTTTTATTTATGTGGATACTGGGGATCTGAACTCAGGTTTTCGTGTTTGCCTGGCAAGTGCTTTACAGACGCAGCCATCTCCCTAACCACATCATTTTTGTTTTGAGACAAGAGTTTCACAATATAATTTAGGCTGGCCTTGAACTGATGCTTCTCCTGCCTTAGCGTCCTTAGTGTTGGAGTTACAGGTGTGTAGCCGCATCCCTGGCAAAAAGATAGTTTTAGCTGAAATCAGTTGAGGTAATTGCATCTAAGGGAAACCCAATGAAAGGGTAGATCCAGTGTAGACCCATTGGCTGAAAGAGGAGGAAGACTGGAGAAATATTTATGAGGCTAAAGTGGATAGAATTTGCTTACTGGCTAAATGTTCGTTGTGAGAATTGAGTTTTATGGTGATGCAATGCTTAGATCACCTAAATTACATTGTGCTGAGTAAAACATTTAAGGTATTAAAATTTGTAAACTTGCTATTTGAACTGGGCTTTCTGGCTTCTCTTTAGTTTCTCTTGTTTGTTCTACTTATTCTACTTTGCTGAGTATTATTTGAATGACATTAACAATGTGATTCTATTTGTAAAGAGATTTTTTTTTTCCCCCTTGATCTGTTCTGTTCAAAATGTATACTTAGAACTGCTAAGTCTTTGGATAGGATCCAACAGTTTGGTACAATCACTTCACAGTCTTTTACTAGGTAGAATAAAATTTTTTGTTACTGTTGCTGCAAATGGTCTCTGAATTAATTATGCTAAGACTCTGGTTCTGTGGTATGTTTATTTTTCTCTCAGACCTCCGTTTTAGTTCCTGAAAAATTTTGTAATGTTTTCTTTGTTTGTGTTTTTCCAAGATGTTCTCAGTGCAGCTGAGTCTTGGTGAGCAGACATGGGAATCCGAAGGGAGCAGTATAAAGAAGGCCCAGCAAGCTGTTGCTAGTAAAGCTTTGACTGAATCTACGCTTCCCAAACCGGTTCAGAAACCACCCAAAAGTAATGTTAATAATAACCCAGGTATGGCATTGACTGGTTCCTTTTGTTATGTTATGAGCTGATGTGATACCCTGTGTGTTTCATTTGTGTAGCAGGCAAGTCATACGGTCACATCTATTAATAGTGCATGCACATACACATGCAGACTATATACCCAGACGCACAGACACTGACTTACGCAGACACATGCAAAAAGACACAGACACACACACAGACTCACATACACACAGTCTGGGTAGTGGAGGGGGCAACAAAGAAAATAATACAATTGTTTTGAAAATTCACTTTACTGGATACTATAGAGATACATTATTTACTTGAAATGTTAGCAAAAGCACATGTGATACAAAACACAGGAAATTTGTTTCTTCTAAAGTAAAGAAGTGATTCATTTAAAAATTCTTTAAAAATATGCAATTTTTTTTTTTGTCTTTTGGAGACAGGGTCGCCCTGTAGCCCCAGCTGTCCTGGAACTCACTATGTAGACCAGGGTGGCCTTGAACTCACAGAGATCTGCCTGCCTCTGCCTCCCAAGTGCTGGGACTACAGGCCTGTGCCACCACACCTGCCTTTAATATGCAATTTTAATAATTAAGTTGTTCTTTTTTTTAGTTTAATGCAAAATTATAAAGTTGGTCCGTAGGTATCTTATCAGATACTTTGTTGGTGTAAAATTTTAGAAATGTCTCATTCAGTCCAGAACATTTTATGAGGTTTATTAAGAAATTTAAAAAAAAAACATTGCGGCTGGAGTGATGGCTCAGTGGTTTAAGAGCATTGGCTGTTCTTGCAGAAGACCCGGGTTCGAATCCCAGCATGGTGGTTAACAACCATCCATAATTTGAGTTTCAGGGGATCAATGCCCTGTTCTGTTCTCCACAGGCGCTGTACAACACAGGTGCACTAACACACAAGCAGCAATACACTCATACACATAAAATAAATAAATAATTAAAAAATAAAAGAAATTAAAAAAATATAAAGCTACCCACGTACAAAATACTTAAAATACTATTCTAACTGTAAGGTCCTGGAACCATTAATTTTATTATTTTTTTGTTTTTATTTTTTTATTATTTTTATTTTATTTTATGTGTATGAGTATATTCCCTGCATGTATGTAAGTGTATTCACACAATACACAATGCCTGCTGAGGACAGAAGAAGGCATCAGATTCCCTGGAACTGGAGTTAGGGATGGCTGTTAGCCACCACTTGGGTGTTGGGAATCTAACCCAGGTCCTCTGTAAGATCAACGAGTGCTCTTAACTGCTGAGCCAGCTCTCCAGCCCCTCCTACAGCCATTTTAAAAAGTGATTTTGATGGTGTACAGTGCCAATAGCATTGTATGTACAGCAATCTTTTGTGAAGAGGCAAACGTGTGTTAGACATAATGCATTAACTGATACTGTGAAGTTAATAAATTTCCCCTAAGTTTACTCTCAGCCATATGTCCATTTACTCATTCATTAACCTGTTAATGTCAGTTCTTATGTTTAAATTAACATTAATGTGTGTTAGGCATTTTAATAATAAAACTCATTTGCTTGCTAACAGTGACTCCTCACTCTGTTTAATTATAGTCCAGTGTTTGTACTCATACTTTGTCACAGTGACTGCTCTGTCCTTGGTAGATATGTTCTGCTCTTTTAAGGATTTCCTGAACTTCATGGCTCTTAACTGCCGAGCCATCTCTCCATCTCCTACTTTTGCAATTTTTAAAAACTTTATTACTGGATGATCATTCATGTCATAGTACACAAGTATTTATTAAGTACTTGCTTTTATATGTCTAAGAGGTATAAAACCTCCTTTTATGTGAGGATTTTATAGTATTATACATAAACATAGCTTGGTGGTAGACATTAAGTGCCAAGTTAGTAATAGCAGCTATTAATATTAGAGGCAAAGATCTCATAGACTGAAATAAGATATAGACCTTGAATGAAGAGTTGCCAGGAATAGAGGAAAGGAATGTTCCATACTAAAGGAAGATGAAGAAGGGCATGAGAGTAAGGCATGGGGGTAGGAATTTGGACAGTAGATTTTGTAAAAGCAGGTTTTTTTGTGTGTAATCTTTTTAAAATTAGCATCGGCAAATGACTCGTAGGAAATTAAGAGTAAGACATAGGTAGGGAGTGGGCACTCTGATCTACTCAACCCCCAGCCTTTTCCCTTTAGTTTGGGGGTACTTAGTATTTATCAGAAGGTGGATGATAGGTTGAAAAGAATATTTTAGCATGTTAAATTTGACATGTGAGTGGAAGGTGGAAGTTGCTGAAAGTAGGGTGATTAGCTGGGAAATCATTGCTAAGCCTTTAAGCAAAGAAAGAAAAGAAAGAGAACTATAGATTGAGTGCTGTGTGTCCTACTCTGCAAAGGCTTGGGGGTGGCATTTGGATTAGAGTAGAAAGAGCTCTCCAAGGTGCTTAATGTAAAGCAGGATTTGTGTGCTGAGCTCTGGTTCCTCTGCTAAGGGGTAGAGAATTATAAAAGGAAATACCCTGGAAGAGTCAAAACAAGACAAGAGGAAAGTCTGAAAGCCCAGTGGAGTTGCATTTACTCTGTGGAATGTTGTAGCAAGCTGAAAAAGGAACAGATTATTTGAAGTAAGCTTTTAAAATACAGTGTGATACTATGTACAGGCAAGGGCAAAAATTAAAGTTGCAGAGCTTAATAAAGCATTACCCCATGAAACATTTTACCACAGGCTCTGCCATCACCTCAGAAGCTTCCCTGCTCCTTCAGTAGGTTAGCGCTAAAGGAAACATCGTTTGGAGTCCGTCTCATTACTTGTGCCTGCTTATTGGAATTATGCATTACTCTGTTGGCAGCTTCTTTCTCACATTCCTGATTTCTCACATTCTTGATATTCATCCACATTGTGTTTAAAATGATATTTCTTTGCTATGTAGTGTTCCATTGCATGAATAGACTGTAACTTGAGTGATACTTGGATTATTTTCAGTTTGGGGTTATTTGAAATAATGCTGCTATAAACATTTTTGTCTTTACACATTTCTGTTAGGAATGTACCTAGGTTTGGAACTGTTGGTTAATAGGTTTCCATGTGTTCAGTACTGATGTATAATGCCAAACACCTATATTGGTGTATTTCCACTAGCAGTTTGTAAGAATGTTCTGTGTTCCTTTTTAACATTTGATATTTTCAGCTTTCAATCTTTTGGCAATTATATGCTAGAAGTTTCAATAATAATTCATTGTTGTTGGGCACGGTGGTGCACGTCTTTAATCCCAGCACTTGGGAGGCAGAGGCAGGAGGATCTCTGTGAGATTGAGGCCAGCCTGCTCTACATAGTGAGTTCCAGGCCAACTGGGGCTACATGGAGACCCTGTCTCAAAAAAAAAAAAATTCTTTGTGGTTTTCATTTGCATTTCCCTAATGGCTAACAAAGGTGCCTGGTGAAACATTGTGTGCCTGTTGATGGTGTCATTTTTCTATTGACATTAGGATAGGCTCTATTGTAAAGGGCCACTTGGCCTATTTTTTCCATTAAAAGAAACCCTACATTGTTTTAAGATTTCTTTTCTATTTTTTTATTGACTTGTGGATTTCTTACATAGTCTAGATTCATACCCCTTATTCAATATATGTAGTGTAGATATCTTTCCATATTCTTTAAAAAATTTTTAAAAATTTTTGATTAATTTATTTTATGTCTGTGTGTATTTTGCTTGCATGTATGTGTGTGCTTGGTGCCTGTTGAGGCCAGAAGAGGAAATTGTATCCTTTGAAACTGGAGTTACAAGTGGTTGTGAGCTGCCATTGGGTGCTGGGAACTGAACCTGGGTCTTCTGCAAGAGCAGCCAGTGATCTTAACTGCTGAGCCATCTTTCTAGCCCCAAATTTATTACTATTTTTTTTTTATGGTTAGTGCTTTTTTATATGTTTCTTGAGAAACCTTGTCTGTTGCAAGGTTATGAAGGTAATGTCACATTGTTTTTAGTAGAAGTTTTACTGCTTTGTCTTGCTAATTGAGACCTAGAGTGTTAGGAGTCAAGTTTTATTTATATGTGTTGTTAGGTGGAGTTTGAGATTTGTCTTCTTTTTAGTGTTTGGTTGTACAGTTAGCTGAGCACATCTGCTAGGAAGATAGTCCCATTGTCTCTTATTCTTTTATTTTTTAACTTTTAAAATAATTTCAGGCTTATATAAAATCTGTAGAAATAGCCTCAGTGTACCTTTCACCCAGATATCCCACTGTTAGTTCTGAGCTTTTTTAGGAATAAATTATAGGTGTGCTATCCCATGCCTCTGAAGTATTTCAGTGTGTATTCTCCCTTGCTCCCTCCCTGTTCTGACCAAAAACAACTTAGGAAAGGGTTTATTTTATCTTACAACTTCCAGATCATACACAGCTCATTACTGAGGGAAGTCGCAACAGTAGAGCCCTACCTGACCTTGAGGTCACTATTCTCTCGCTTCTGGACCTGGAATATTTTGAAATGATTCCCAGATCTCTTACTGTGTCATAAATACTTTTTAATATAAAGGCTATAAAAAACCCTAATCATAACATCAGTATCAAGCAAAGAAAACAGCCAATTCTATAACATTAAAGAAATGTCCAGAGTTCCCTTATTGTTTCATTTTTTTTTCATAGTTGGTTTGTTTTAATGAAGACTGAAACAACGTCATTTGTTGCATTTAGTCCTACAGCATCTCTTTAGTTCTTTTTTTTTTTTTTTGGTCTCCCAGTAGCCCCAGCTGGCCTGGAACTCACTATGTAGACCAGGCTGGCCTTGAACTCACAGATATCTGCGTGCGCCACCATGCCCGGCTCTTTAGTTCTTTTAAGATATGATGAACTCTTCTCCAGCTTTCTTTTTCCCTAGGCATTATCTTTTGAGCCAAGTCAGTAGTCCTATAGAGTTTTCCACATTCTTGGTTTTGCTGAGTGTACATCTGGTGTTGTAGAGCCTTTATGCCTTGTTCCTGTAAACTGATAACCCAAAGGCTATACAGCTTCAGGCTCCATGTCTTTGGCTATACTACCCAATAGGTAATTCTGACTATTTCTTGTACTAGATCAGAGGACAATTTCTTGTGGTCTCATGCGTTTCAGATTTCTCAGTGGGTTCTGGTATTGTTAGCCCAGTACATTTGTTAGCAAATTCCCCATTAACTTCTGACCTTGTAGTTATAGTAGCCTGCTGGTTCTGTTGCCTAGAATATCTGCCCAGAATATCAGCAGTTGAAAGCTGGTGATTGTTGGAGGACATCATTCTCTTTGTGTTTGTAAGCTGGAGTTCTGGCTATCATGAAGAACTTTCCTCTCACCATCTGCTTGTTTATTCAGGGGATGCAAGAGAAAAGCAAGATAAGCATTGGATCCCCTTTATCAGTATCATGTACAAAACTAGAATTAATCTTTTCTGACAGAGAAAGAGACAGAGAGACAGAGACAGACAGAGAGAGAGAGAGAGAGAGAGAGAGAGAGAGAGACAGACAGACAGACAGACAGAGTGTTCATGTTCTAAATGGGGAATTATAGGCCAAACTCTAATTGCTAATAGAATACTTGGACCCTTTTAAGTTGTCAGGGATATAGTATAGGAAATACTGTATTCTTTTTTGAAAATTCCATTTATTTTTATTTTTGAGACAGTCTCGTGTATCCCAGGCTGGCCTTGAATTCACTATGTAGCTGAGGATGATCTTGAACTTCTGAACTTCTGATCCTCCTTTATCCACCTCCTGAGTGCTGGGGTTCCAGGTGTTTGCCATCATGCTCTGTTATTTTTTTTTTTTTTTTTTTTTTTGAACAGGGGTTCCCT